ATTTACAGTATTTTGATTTAATGTTAAGTCATTCTCATCTACTTAGTTAGTTATTAGATACCGTAGACCTGGTTCTGTAGGGAAAAATACTCTTAAGGTGATAACAGCTACTACTTATCTATTGAGCAACTTCAATTCTAGTTCCATAATGTGCAAGCTAATTCTGACCTAAAACTAAGACTGTGCCAGATCCACAAATAGTGGGCAGAATGTTACCACCACACATATTCTCACAGTTTAGAAGGAAGTATGAAATTTGCACACATATAGAGAAGCTGTGACAGGCTTTGGGAACTTCTTCTGAAAGACTTAGCTGACATCTAGCGGCAGAAGCAGGAAAAGTAAAAAATTCAACAGTGGAGAATAGAAATAGTTTAATGTCTCAAAAATCAATCATTCTTTTTGTAAATATTAGATGAAAAATTCAAGAAATGCTTTGAACACAGCAACTAATAAATGTAGTTAAAGGTAAATGGGTAAAAAATAAGTATTTATCTCTACTATATTACCCTTTCTAAAGATTATCTTCATGTGGAGGATTCAGTTGAATTATGTACATTAATGAACCCATTAAGAGAAGTTATGAGTTATTCTGATTATTATGCAATATGATATGGTACAGATCCATCAATAATTGACTTGGTGTAATAAATGTTGTAATCTTAATTTAATTAATATGCACGCTACATGGCTAGAATTGATTTCAAGTGACATCAAAAAAAGGAACAAAGCTTCAAGTTACTATGATAACATAAAGATGGCAATATAAAATAAACACAATACTGTCATTCATCCTTCCTATCTAGTGATTTTTCTACATCCTTCAAGACTGCTATGTTTGCTGCAACTTCAACTGTCTACAGAATCAGCACCAACCTTTTCAAACTGGTGGTATGGGTAAAGCTCTGGTTGTACTCTGGGTATTCCATATGAAGTTTATAGGAAATGAACATAGCAGTAACAAATCTTACAGAATAAAAATCCATTAGGAATTTCATTCACATAGTCAAAGAAAAAAATAATTTCCAACAGAAACAGTACAGAAGTATAGGATGCTTTCTATTGCTAAAGAGTAAACAGATCTCTCACTTATAAGCCACTATATACAGGTTTCAAGGGATAGATTCTGGATAACTTTGCTTGCTTTCACCTTCAGAGGACAGTTTAATAGTTTTTTGAGAACTTTCCCCTACACCTACCTTCCAGGGCTGAAAAGCCTGAACAGCTCATTAGCTCAATAGATGGTTAAGAATTTTCTAGCCATTTTAAGAATAACAAAGAATAAAGGTCTCACTCCTAATCTTTTTCAGAAAAGGAATGATGATCAACCTTCTTCATAAATACAAGATATGAGATTTGGAACAGTTTGCAAAAGAGCTGGTGGTAGAGAAATCTCTGTCTGTAGGTTCCTTCAGTGCATAGTAGAAAATCACATTTAACCCAAGCATTTCCAATAGTTGGGATCCACCACCATATTTTTCTATTATACCATTAAAGAATAAAATGCAACAAGGTATTACATTAAATCACAAAACAATTTTACTTCTCTATATGTTCCCATATGAAATTTTATAATATAAAGTTCCATATGTATGTAGTAGTTCATATTTTTTTATCTTAAAATACATCTTTCCCTTCCTTCAAATAATGAAAAGCCACAAGAAAGAGAGTATACAGACAATGTCTGGCCTTCTCTAATGCATTCCATTTTTACCAGTGCAAATGCTGGTAACATAAACAATGAACAAAAATCATGTCCCTTTGCTGTTATATTTAAATATTACAGACTGAAATGATTTCTGGGAAAAGCAATATTTTTTAAATTAATCACAAAACCCAGGAAAAATTCCTTTGAAATTAAAGACAAAATAATAAAGGCTAACAACAGGAATACGGAGAAAAAAAATTTTGTTCTTTAAAATGCTGGAACATCAAGGATGCAGGAGAAGGAACCTCTTAAAAGTAGACAGGCTATAAAAAAAGGGAGAAAAAAGTTTGAAATTACACCCTTTCATTTTGAAAACTACTAAAACTTTAGTAGTTTTACCAAAGCAGCAGGACCATGTAGCAGCATCTGACTCAAATTTCATCCACTATAAAAAATAACATGCTGCAGTAAGATTCAACATTCTCTTCACAAAATGAGTAACTTAGTCTTGACCTTCTTTGCACACAGGACATATTAAGAATACAGGAATTCAGTATTTTCAGCCTAAATGTTTTTTAGATTATTAGTCTGGCACTATATAGAAATTTTCATATGGCATTCTACATGTTCCAGAGAAATAAAGAGCTCCAAAACAACTGTACAAACAAAAGGGATGCATCTATGATGGGTCACGTTCTAGTACAAGGAATTCATTGCCAAGTACATACAGAGAAAGAACAGGAACACTACTCAGATGGTATAGCATTCAGAAGTCACAGAAGCACGTGATACTACAATTTATTCATCAGTACTATATATATATATATATTCATCAGTACTGTGTGCAGACTCTTGTTTCAGGAAACCCTTAAAACCCTAATTGCTGGAAATGGTATACTAGGGCAACATTTCTCAGTAATTTAGTCACTATGTGTCTTTTATGAACCTGATGCATTACACCAGGTTGGACTGAGGTCCAAAAATCAAGCAGCACACTGTTAAGGAAGGGGTATGGAGGCAGTGGTAGTAGAAGCAACAAGGAAGAGACAAAGATGACACTTACTTGCCAAAAAAAGCCAAATCAAAACAAAAAGCACCATACAGAAAGAAGGCATTACCCTTACACTCTGTATTTCTTACATGTGTTTTCTAAGCACCCACTGCTGGTCAATGCTGGAGACAAGATACTTGCTTCAACTGGCCTTTGGTATATAAAGTTTTTATGTCCTTCAATATTTTAAAATGAAAAATCACATTATATCTCAGGAATCATTAGTCTTAGAAACTTATAAACAGAACTCTGTGCAAGGTCTCCAGTAACTTATGAGTAACTTCAAAATAGAAATAAAAAAATATTGTTTGAATTATGTCTTGCATACAATAAACATAAGTATTATTTTCCTGAATCAATTATTTTTCTGATCATCATGATATAGATCTTACACTTCACTGCCATTACCTAAAAGGCTTATGAAACATTCTATCACTTTTTCTGGTTTGCTTTTGGAACTACATAGTTTAAGACAAAACGGTACCAAACATGAAAATGTCAAATGCATGCAATACAAGAAAACAAGATCTGTAGGACATTGCTGCAAAGAGTGCATAAGTCTACTAATAATGGACAAAAAATATTTGCATTTTAGCTCATTTCTAATTATATTTACACACATATATAAAATGGTGAGATTTTATGGTCCTGAAAGTTACACCACAATTTCACTTTTCTGGAAACAACCCACTCACAATTTTCCTTACTACTAAACAAGATAACATATAAACACAATTAATCATTAAGACGTGATGATATTTGAGGAAAACTCAAATAATCCAGATAAAAAATAATAATCTGATTTAAAAGAGAATGTTTGTATCATTCAAAGTTATGAGCAGCAAATAAATGAATCGACTTTTCCTCCAGTGTTTTTCAGACATACTCTTATAGGAAACAAAATCTGCAAGACGAACATTCTTTTAATGAAAGATGAAATTGGAGATGTGTGATTTTTCATGCCAGTACCTGACTCCTCTGCCCCTACTGTTTCCAGGGTTGCTGGAGATGCACAAACACATTTTTCTCTCTCACTGAGGCTATGTATTCTCTGAAATACCCTCTCAAAATGAATAAATGCATCTACTGTTCTTGTGTGGGAGAGTTACGCTATTCTTTGTAAGAGTTCTAATTAATAATATTTATTATACATTACTGTTGTATTTACTTTAGCGCTACCTTTCCTTTCCCTGTGCTGAATTTTAAGAGATGCTGCACACAACAGAGACTCTTTCACTGTCCTGTCCACTCCACAAGCTACTACCATTGTTCCAGCCCTGTCTACTTAAAGACCTCACTGAGCTTTCTCAACTTCATAGGTTTTACGTCCATTATGCCCTGGCCTTTGTACAGACACAGAGATATAAATACTCTGCACAATACAAATACTGTACTTGTACTAGCCTGATGATTGCTATATGTGATCTGCCTAATGACATAGTCGCTGTATCAATATATTGGATTATCTGACTCCCTGTGTTAGTAAATTTGGTTTTTTCCATTCTATTTACCTTAATGATGACAAAGAAAATACGGAATGTTTTGTACTTGATGACTTGTATACTAAGTATTTAGCATACGGAACTGTATTAGAACACAGTGTAGCTATGCTTAAGAATGTATCACAATTGGCGAGAAAAGAAAGATGCTGTTAATTTTTCTTTAAACTAGGACTGCTCATCAAATTAAGTTATAGTGCCATTTAAGTTCCTGCTTTTATGATAAAAACACTTCCTTGTAATATTTCACTTTGCTTAGCAGAGTCAATCATGCCAAGGGAAAGTGAGTTCTAACATTAAACTTCATTATTTCTGATTTTGACAATTAGACAGTTGGTCAAGTTTACACTTACAAAACCAGGCATCAATAAAGAGTGTTCAATACAAAATTTCGAGACTCTCACAAATGGAACTACCATGCTTATTTTCAGTCTAAAATTATAGAAAACTGCTTCTACAGAAGTATGTTTCACTGAGAAAGAGTGAGTAGGTAAATGCCAGTGCCTTAATATAATAAGCAAATGTAAAAGTACTGCACTGCTGAGTTAGAGGGAAGAATTTAAAAGCACAACAATAAGCAAAACTACAAAGGGGAAACATGTAAAACTGCTTTTTGCCATCATATATGAGTGCATGTATGGATTTTAACTAGATTAATTTTAATTGAGTTGGCAGTCAACTGAAAATAACTTTTAGAAGGAAACAAATTCTTAACATTTGATGGAAAGTATATGTTTGCACTACTTAAATCTGTAAAATGCACTAGAGTCAGGGAAAGAAAAAAATCATTACAGAAGTATACCTTTAATGTTTCAATTTCTTCTTTGTGTTCCCTCTTTAAGTGCAAAATGGCAGCTTGGTACTCTGTAAAAATAAAAAAAGTACATTCCATTAAAGTCAGAAAACAATGTGCCACCTTCAGCATAGTCTATTTCATACACCACCACTGGGTCAGAATGCAGATGTAGGCTCTCAAATAAAAGGCCTTTTACAATGGTGATGGAAAAGAAAATCTGAACACAGTAATTAGCATTATTTTCTAAGACCACATGACCAGATTTTCCATGGTGTTTCTGAGAGCAGAGGATAAAGCAAAGAGGTCTTCCATGCTGAGAGGGAAAATGGGGTGAAGATACATCAGACTGAAATAACAAGAGGAAATTTTAGTTTTGCTTAGCTTTGCAGATAAATGTAGAGCTGATAAGATATTATGGCATACACGTGCATGCACACAGACACGTGAACTCTAAAAAAACATGCATTAAATACAATGATTTAAACTGAACTGTAAACATACAATCACTATACACAGGTGTTGTGGTTTAACCCTAGCCAGCAATTAAGCATGATGCAGCCCCTCGCTCACTCTGCCCCCCACAGTGGGATGGGGGAGAGAATCAGGGGAAAAAAAAGTAAAACTCTTGGGTTGAGATAAAGACAGTTTAATAGGACAGTAAAGGAAGGGAGAATAATAATAACAACAACAACAATAATAGAATATACAAAACCAAGTGATGCACAATACAATTGCTCACCACCCACTGACCAATGCCCAGCCAATCCCTGAGCCATGGTCCCCCCCAGCCAACTCCCCCAGTTTATATACTGGGCATGACATAATATGGTATGGAATACCCCTTTGGCTTGTTTGGGTCAACTGTCCTTGCTGTGTCCCCTCCCAGTTTCTTGTGCACTCCCAGCCTCTGCTGGCAGGGCAGCATAAGAAGCTGGAAAGTCCTTGACTTAGTATAAACACCGCTTAGCAAAAACTAAAACAGCAGCATGTTATCAACATTATTCTCACCCTAAATCTAAACCACAGCGCTATACTGGCTACTAAGAAGAAAATTAACTTTATTCCAGCCAAAACCAGGCTAACAGGCAAATTGCATAAAGGACAATCACAGATACAAATGAAGACCTGGGAAAGTACCCAACAGCAAGAGATACAAAGAATTCCTGTCTTAATTTTATCCGATGAAGATTAATTACAGGGTTTAAGCACCTTCACAGGGTACTAAATAGCTCTTGCATTTAGTGAGAATATAACAAAATCCAAAGGTGTAACAAAATTGAAAGCATGAAACTCAAAGCCAGAGAAATTTAAATCAGCAATGAAAAAATGAGGAGGCTGGGCATTGATTACACAGGTTTAGTGATGGCTGTAAGTGTTAAGGTGTAGATTTACCAAATGGTCCTGTAGAACCTCGGTCTCATACTACGGTTGCCCTTAATCCATAACATGGCTACATTTGGCCAGATGAAGAAAGAGAAGACCCTTCATTACAGCTGTGTAATGATTTAAAAGACGCCTGTCTTCTGTAAGACATTGGCCCAGAAGCTACAGCCCTCCTAAACAAGCAACTGGAGTTCATTCCTAGACCATCAAAGCCCTGCTTCTATCTGCTTCCAAATCAAAATTAATCCAAAAGTGTATTTCCAGTTCCCTGGCTTGGCTTTTGCTTCCTGAACTAAAAAAAGGAATCAAATTCTAACTTAAACAAGGATTGAAAATAGTCCAAAGACTTTAAATTTTACTGTTGTCTAACACTAAGGGGTTTGTAGAGTCCCTGGAAGAGTAGAATCAATAAGACAGCAACAGAACATCAAAACATGGACCAAAGCACCAGACCAGTAAAATACTCCAGTGCTTAGGTGTTTTTTTTTCTTTTCTTCTTTTTTCTTTTGAGAGCACATGGAGAAAAAAGGAAAGATAACTGGTCATCACCCTGAAATCTGTATGACGTGGAAGCTTTTAACGCAAAGCCATTTTTTTCAAACACAGGTGAAGCTACATGCAAGCAGCTGAATTGATATACAAAATCAAAAGGAAAATGGATTGATATTTTACAAGACACAAAATAAAAAACTTGGGTGATTCCAACTAGTAATAGTACCTATCTAAAGTCCTCCTTCTTCTCTAAACAGGCCTCTACTTAGAGCTTTCCAGCATGGAAAAATTGCCTGACTGCTCTGCTGGAATCACAACCGGTTAGGTCTATGGACTTTTAGATTTTCTGCTGTTAATTCCTTTGACTGGTTGATACTCCCTCTGGACACAGGCTCACTTATCCATTCACCTAAACAGGACTAACAAAAGAGCTGCCTCAGGTCCCCAGAAAAAGTTGTGACCCGTCTGGCACCTCAGCTGGTTAAGCACGCAGTTTGCAGGGCATGAACCTTATGAACATCCTGACTTGAAGTTCAGCTCTTTAAGGTCACATGGTAACTGAAGCAAACAGCAGGCTTTGAAAATGCTGGTAACAATCAGTTCTTAGTTTGGCTAACAGAAGGATACAGATCTACAGATCTAAACAAAAGATCTACTTTCTACGTGGAATTGCCCAATGCTTAACATTCTTTGGGATTTGGGTAAGAGAGTCATAGTTCACATATGCTGACATAGACTTGCACTGGCACCAAAAGCAGATTTTTCACCATGTCTACCCATTCCCAACCCTCTGTTGGTTATTTTCTTATCTTGGTACAAATGTTTGTGCAGTCAGAGAATGATGGAAACCCCCCCATGGATGAAACTTAATACAGCATAAAAAGTTAAAGAATTTTTTAAAAATTAAGTATATGCCATTTTTGTGACAGACATTTTGCAAGATACCATCATTTTAAGTTATTTAAGTTGGCACGTGTTTTTCATTACTTCTCCTAGCTGAAAGCTCCAAAATAAGTTCTAGAGATTTCTTTGTTTGATCTTTGTTCTAAAGCAGAAGATAGTGAGTAGCAATTCTTTTATGGTTTACTTATTCTTTAAAAATATGCTTTAAAAGTACTAGTTTATAAGAATTAATAAGCTTAATTAATTACTTAAAACATTGCTACTGCAGAAAAGCAAGTGTATCATAAATCAATAGAGTGTAAAATACTTAATAGATTGTCTACTATGCAATAAACTGACATTCTACAGCATAAGCTTCTTTTGATTTCTTTTTTAACTAGAAGAAACTATCTATTGGATAGAAGCTGACACCCGGCAAAGTATCTTTTTAATTCTTCTGAAGCAAACATTCATTTTTGTGCGTTAAGAAATTATAATGAAAAAGATATCACACCACAATTATAGTTTTGTGTAATATAAAGTAACTCATGTCCATTCCTTTCACATTTTTTGTGAAGTCACCTTAATTTGGTATAATTCTACGTGGATAGTGAACATCCCAAGAAAATATCCTGCACACAGAAATGGCAATCTCAATCATTAAAACACTGAAGAACTTGACTAGAAAGAATAATCGCATCCATATAATTCCAAAAATCAGTTTCTGAACATACTGGCAACAGAACAATGACATTTAATTATGCAATGGCATTGGGATGCTGCTTAGAATGGTAAAATCACAACAGCAAAGTAAACAATAATGACATGTTAATGTAAGGAACTGTACTGCAAACAAAATGTAAGTCATGCTTTAAATTCCCGAGTTCTTAAATTCCATTTAACTCACTAAACAGATTCATCTAGACTACAGAAACAATCCAGAAATACAGTAAACTCTAAATTATCAATGAGTAATTTGTCTAGGTTACAAATTAACTATGCCAGAGTTGTAAGAAATCTGATACAGTTCTGTGTGTAGCCAGCCTGATTCTCACATAATCATTGTAACTCATCCAGCCTTATTAGTTAAGACACATGAAACATATGTAGATAGTTCCCAGAGCCAGCTGAGATACAAGGTTGCAACTGAACTGTATGACCTCCCACTTCTTGGTGCTGCAATACCTTAAGGACTTTCAAGACCGACATGGAAATAAAGCTTCTAATCACAGAACGGCTGAGGTTGGAAGGCACCTCTGGTCCTACCTCCCCTTAGAGCTGGCTGCCCAGGACCATGTGCAGACAGCTTTGGAATGCTTCCACGAATCTCCATCCTCATACTCTCTGGGCAACCTGTGCTAGTGCTCAGTCACCCTCACAGCGAGAAAGTGTTTCCTGATGTTTAGCTGGACCCTTCCGTGTTTCAGTGTGTGCTCACATTGGTTCTGTCACTGGGCACCACTGAAAAGAGCCTGGGTCCCTCTTCTTTACACCCTACATTATAGATCCAAGCTGATCTTGTGTCACAAAGTGACTTTTATTCCATGCCAGCACATCCCCTAGTTTGTGTAACATCAAGGGGTTTGTATTTTCTGAGGTTTTAAGTCTTTCATTATGCTGGATAACAGAAGGATGATTGTACAAACATCCTGTTGTACTTGCCTGGTCTCCAAACAGCCTGCCAGGAAGACAGTGGCTGTAGGGCGTAAGTTAGCTATCCCTAATGTAGGTATTACTCTGAAGGGCTTTTGAAACAAACAAATCAGATACAAATCAGATGGCAAGTGCTCCTATCCTGAAAAATGACCACAAGCAAATTGGGATTTCATTACTGAGAAAACAATTTAAAATGTTAGTCCTTTACATAAGGCAAGCAAGCAAAAAAGTAAACAATCTCACTGCATAGATTCAACTCCAACCAGCTCTAAATCAAAAAAAAAAAAAAAATTAAAAAATGGCAAAAAGGTAGTAGTACTTTTCCAGTACGCTCTTCCAGCAACCTGATTTGCAATTCAGGAACTTTCTAAACCAGAGAAGTTGTTTGCATATTTAATAGTTTGCAAGTGGATTCCTCTTCCATGAATGTGCATTGCTGATTTTAAAACTCCTGCAAGCAGACAATGTCCCGCAGCAAAGAATGAATTGCACATTAGGTAAAGACCCTTTTGTTTATTTTGAATCTGCACCTGTTAGGTTCATTTGATGCCTCCAATTCCTGTGCTGGAAGAAATAGTGAATGACTGTTCACCATTTACCCATTTGCTGTTTCTTATGATTTGAGAGATCTCCAAATTGACTGACCCCCTTGACT